AGAGAAAAATGCCTAACAAACAGCACATTAATGGTTCTAGGTTATAGTTCACATCTTTTTACTCATCGACAAAAAAAAAAAAAAGCAAAACTACCATTGAACTTTTAATCATAAACTTGTCCCCAAAATATCTTTTCAAATTCCTAATACCTCAATAAGAGTATAATCATAGTGGTGTGAATGTTGAAGTTTAAATGCTGAATGAGTGTGATTACTTTATTCTCAGTAAATCTTTTTTTTCAAAGAAATCATTTGGCTGATGTGTTTTTTATTCTATGAGAATTATTTTAAATTTAAGACTAAACAGAAAAACTGGTATAAAGTGATGGTTCAAGAGTTACTACTGTAGAACACTGAGATTTTAAATTTCTCGTGGATGATTTACACTTGTAGCTTTGTACCAAACTTCTTTCATATGTCATGTCTCAGAGCCCTCCACAATTTCCAACTTTTCATAGCCCAAAGTAATACCTGCCACCCACTAAATCACTCCCAGTCTGCCATCCATTTATACAAGCTCATTGCTGTTTTCCTCTGCTCCTATTACCTTCAATATGCTATATGAGTGCCAAATTCTCTAGGCCCTCTTTCCTTATTATATATCTCAGAAATCTCAACTATATCTTCTTGATTTTATGCACAAAACTTTTATTTTTCATTTAAAACTTCCCCATTGTCCACATGTTCCATCCATGGTATTTTAAGCATCCTTATGTAGAACCACATCTGTTGCATAAAGTTCCCTCTTCATCCGTGAAGAAATTGTCCAACATTCACTGCCATATAGGAGGATTGCTATTACATAACAGTTCAGTACTTGTTTTTAAATGCATTTTCCTGTTTCTTAATAATTTGTTTAAAGTTTGAAAGACATCTTTCACTATGCCGATACAACTTATTAAATACAGAAAAGAATTTAATTTATTAATATGTCCCAAGTAAAAAAAAGTTTAACATAATTCCAAATTTTTCAATCACAATAACTAAACATTATACAGTGAAAGTTTCAGATTAAAATTCACTTCAACATGGAGTAATGATTAATGAGTTTGGTCTAATGACTATTACCAATGTGAAGGCGGGTTACCATTGGGAAATATATAAATCCATCCACTAGCTATGGGCTAAATAGAATGGCAGACTGGGTTCTTCAAGCTTGGTTGGCAACCAGTCTAGGAGAACTAACTGTATGTAACCCTGGCAGAGCATATACTCTGCAGTTAATGAAAGTCATTGTAATCTCCATGATTCTATGATCACAAGTGCAGTTGGCATTGATTGATTGAGAAGGTGTAGCAAGTCTGATCCTAACTGGGTACCCCAGATTTGAGATTTTGTACTAAAAATAAGTTGAGTAATTAACTAAAATCTAGATGTAATTTTAGTCACATTTTGAAAGGGAAAATGAATGTTTTGCAATTAAAATTGATTTTTGTATTTATTTCCATTCAATCCATTACAAGTGAGGACTTATAAGCTAATGAATGTTGAAGAGGAGTTAATGTGCATTGCCTCGTGGTGGCTATTGTTTGTACAATAAATGTAAACAAAATTTTGTTTGGTGGGGGGGCATAACTGGTGTCTGACTCTGGAATTATTCAGCAAGATCTCTACTTTATTTTTTTTTTTTTTTTTAATTTTTTTTTTTTAATCATTTCTCCCCAAGTAAGGGATAATGCCACTAAAACACAAGGAGTTACTGGGAGTGAAAGAAAATGAGAAAATATTAGTGAGGAGATAGAACAGGGTTCAGGAAGACAGAAGATGGCGATTAGCATTGCCGTTTTATTTTTGAAGATTGCAGGTGACAGGGAAGCAAGATATCAGAAGGGAGACCCACAGGTGAGATGTGCAAAAAAAGACTATTAAATTAAAATACATAGATATCTAGATATTTTAACAGTGCCACAAGTCACGATGAATGAATGTCCCCTCCAGAAGGTTCCATGTCTTGAGAGACTATTGAGCCTTAAACTTACCCGACCTCAAGTGGAAGTTGAACATATGATACATCGGTAAAGATGCTGGTAAAATGGTCAGTTCCCTGTACCACTCCGGTAAGTACCTGACTCCTCCAGCTATCCTCTAACTTTACAAGAACCAGATCAGGTCTAAAAATGGAGTACTGTTGTCAGATTTAAGCAGGATCTGTCTAGTCCTCTTTGCAGTCTCGATATAGTTCAAAAGTGTCTCAGAGTCCTTGTTAGTGACAAATTAATTTTACCCTCCAACCTCTCTCTCTCACAGACGGGCTGTGCGAAGCTTCTCATTGCTCTATCACTACATCCATGGAAAGTGCTCGGACGAACTGCATTTCTTTGTTCCACCAGTTCTAACCTTCACAGCTAGGACCACCATGTCACTCACATTGTAGCAAAAGACTTACATTCTCTCTGGTGAGTAGTAAGTTTCACTCAAACAGTTTCTTCCTGCGAACCACTGCTCTGTGGAACTCACTCCAAAGAGGATGTTCCCATCAATTAGTACAATCTTAACCATTATCTTTCCCTCCTATTCATATAAACTGCCTCTTACTGTAACCCTCTACCTTGAGTGGCTCCCTGGTCTTGTACAGGGTAAACCACACTGTTTAAAAAAAAAAGAAAAAAAAAAGAAAAAAAAAAGGTAAAATAGTTATCTGGTTTAAACAAAAAAGATAAAGCCATCAGACATTAGCCTTGTGGATTAAAGCATTGGTTTGTGAAACATCTGTCGATTAAATAAAGGGCTCAGTTTGGAAGGCCCTGGAGGTTACTTGGATTGATAAACACTTGAAGACTGGAGGGGCGAAACAGCCAAAACATTGTGATGAGGACAAGAGTCTGAATGTAAGTAGTGTAAATAATGATATCTCCTCATCTCAGAAATTCAGACAGAAAAAAAAAAATAAAGATTCAGTTTAGATAATAAAACAGACACAAAGTAAGGCTCCAGTTTAGCATTATAAGTACACTTAACTTTCAAAAGTGGAATTTTCCATTTCTTCTATCACACTTCACACTTGTGGAACTTTCTTTCAGTTTCAACTTTGATCTTCAAATATTTAAATGTAATGTCAATCATTATCTTTTGTCTTAATTCTTGTTTTATTATTCTCTCCCCTTAATAGTTTTTTTTTCACATACTCTCTAAAACTCAGTAACTCCTTGCGTCTTAGTGGTTTGCTTGGGGTTAAAAAAAAAATGTTCCCTATGTCCCCCATTAATGACCATGGCTTTAGTTCTTGCGTTATGCTATGAGAAACAGATGGGCAAAAAAGGCATTTGGAGAATTCGATTATTTCTCCTTGAAAGTGTATTCATGTTTTAATGCATATCTGGACTCTTTCAACAAGTTATGCCTTTTGGCTTGGACAAACAGAATCAATTTGATGCCAATATTTGGATCACATCTAATTACACAACATGGATTATTGTGTTTGTGCAATTCTCTTATAAACAAGTTATCACTTACAATTCTAACATTTTGGTCCATTATTTGGTAAGAATGAAACGAATACAACTTAATAATTATGAACAGAAAGAAGGAAAGAAGAAAAATAATTAAGAGTGAAGCTTGATGAGAAAAATGGAAAATTAATCTTAACACAAGCATTCAGGCTTGGATAATTGCAATTTGTTTTTTTTTTTTTTTTTGGTGGGGTGAGGATTGAAAATATCCTAATATACATATATTTAGAATAAAAAAAAACCTTTTGAAAACGTACATTCATTTTATATTTAAAGTGTGTTTGTAATTATATATACTTCCAGGAAAATAACTGAACGGGTAAAATTTTGATCTGTTTTTATATATATATATATATATATATATATATGAAGATGTGCTATATTTATGGGATAAAGTGCTCAATATCAGAGATAGAGCGTGTGTAAATATAAAAGTGAACATAGAAGTCAACACTTAGAGGCAACACTAGATGCAATTGTCAGGCCATATATATATATATATGGCTCATTAGGATCTTATTTATTTTACCTTTGCTTTACTTAGCATATTGAGCACTCTTCATTTTAACTTATTACTCACTGGGTTTTTTTCTTTGTACCAGAAAATTAAGGTACTGGACGATTTCTTTCGCCCTCTTCAGGTTTCTGGTTCTTTCTTTCTTTTATTTTCTAAATTTTTTTTCCTTGGATGCCAATTTGTTTAAAAATTGTGTTATTCAGATTTTTTCACCCACCAAGTTTAAACAGATTTACTACACACACACACATATATATATATATATATATATATATATATATATATATATATATGTGTGTGTGTGCTTGCAAAGACACACACTTGATTATATTTGAACATGATCATTTCCTTCCTACTCAACTTACAGGTTGATAAGCTGTAAAAAATGAATCAATCCTACTCAAAGCAGATTGAAACCCCAATGCCCTATCATATTGTAAGAAGTAATAAGACAATACAACAGAACATTATTGGCATTTAGCTATAATGATCCTCACTGGGTGTCACATATTTATGGTCTTGTGCCAAATTAAGCTAACATCAGTAAATACCTACATGAAAAATATTCAATCCCCATTATTCCTTGAAATTGTAGGTATTTTATTTGTCTAAGCTGATATATAGTATTATACTCAAGAAAAAAAATCAACTTTTTTTTTTAAAGAATAAGTGTCCATAGATTACCTAAATTCCCCCAGCCAGCTCCAGGGATAAATAATCATTAGAAACTATTTCTTTAGTCTTGCTTTACACAACTTGAAGGATATTCTATCTAGAAAATTGTCATAAATTGTTTTTGAACTCAGAATATTTCACCCAAAATGGATTATGTAGCAACTACTTCCAGAACTATGGTATTTGATGGCATTTAAGATCCCTCCCTACAACAATGACTATCACTGAAGACCTCACAAAAAAGGCTAAAAGAACAATACCCCTGGTCTTATATACAGAGATATCTAATAGGTTAATGTTAGCCAGATACTGTAGATTACTAATACTCACACTGAGCCTAAGTCTGTAATACTGAATGCTTACAGCCATACCACATTGAATACATCAGATCTCATCTGATCATCAAAGTTAAGCAGTTTTGAGCTTGGGCTGTGCTAAGATGAGAGACCACTTGAGAATAACCAGGTTCTACAAGCTTAATCAGGTAGATGGTAAGTGCAGTTCATCTAGGAAAAGAAAAAGGAACTTTAAATAATACCAAATTATCAGAAAGGGTTTGGGAGTAAAGATGGAGGATCATATCAATGCTGCATCTACACAAACAGGAATGACCTCAACCAGTACATGGGGTCTGGTAAGATGCTGCAACCAGAACAGATGCTGTCATCTTGGAATTTTCATGCCACTAGAATTCAACTATTTAGGCCAAGAGTGTTTTGCCAGTGCTCTGCACAAATCCGAACACTAATTTCTTCTACATAAGTTTGTTTCTTCATCCTTTAAGGCAGTGGTTCCCAAATGGTGCAGCATACCTCATATGTGCAACGGAAGAGGATAGCAGGTGAGGCAGGATAATTGATAAACAATCAAAGATATAGAAACAGTTTTAAAAAAAAATTCATATGCCAAAAATGAATATGATTTTAAAATTTAAAATATTATGGATTACTTGTAATTGCATGCCTGAGTGAGTATAAATAGTTATAAATAATCATTGACCAATTTTATCATTGTGATATTTTTGTATTATGTTAAGTATTAAGAATATAGTAACTAGGATCCGCAAATTGGAGGATAGAGTTATCAATGGTAATGTTCTGACTTCAAATCCACAGTTTGTTTTTTTTACTCTTAAATGTACTTTTTATCACATAAAATATGGTGACGAGCAAACAAATTTTAATTCTGAAAATGTGGCCCAGAGAAAAAGTTTGGGAACCACTGCTTTAAGGAATGACATTACTTGCTCAACTTGTGGAGAAATTATACTGAAAACAGAATTTGAGTTTTCTTTTCTCACTGTGGCAATATTTCACCAATCCCTTTACTGAATGTACATGGGCTTTTTACTAATTTCATTCACACTGACACGGTGGAACACTGTGTGGGAAGATTGTATCTAACTGGTGAAAATTGCCCAAGTGGCCCAGGCATAAGTTTACATGAGGCCAATCAACTTATATTTGCAATTCAATCATTACCTCATATTTTGATGCAACTTTGACAAAGTTTGGCATGCTGGTCTTGTACACAAGTTGAATTATGATGTTTCTGGACAAATTTTTAATTTGATACAATCTTTATCAAATCACGAAATGAAAATTGTCTTGAACAGCCATTCTTCTAGATCTTTCTATATAAATGCAAGTACCCCAAGGTTCTATTATCAAACCTACTTTGTTCCAAATCTTTATCAACAACCTTCCTGATGTCATCAGTTATTCCTTATTGCAACTATTTACCCCTACCTTGGTAAGTCTGATAAGTTCGATAAAGTCAAATTAGCAGCTGATCTCAAAAGGACCTCCAATCTGTTGTTAACTGGAGCAAGAAATAGCTTGTTAATTTTAAGGCCTCCAAAATGAAACTGCTCTTTTAATTGTATTAGAAAACCATTTTAGCATTCCATCAGCATGGCTGATGCTAACTTCTAGGAGAGTAACTCATCACACCTTCTCAGTCTAACATTTTCTCGTGATATAAATTGGAACGATTATATTGAATCATTTGTTAAGATTGCTGCTACGAAAGTTCATTCACTGTATTGTTCTAGACAATTTTCATTGCCAGAATCTATCTTGCACTTTTGTAAGTCTACCATTTATCCATACATTGAATATTGTTACCACATCTAGTCTGTTGCTTTTATGTATCTAGACATTCTTAATAAAATCCCCCCCCAAATTCTGTAACATTATGAGTCCTGAATTGATAGCTGTTTCAATCCCTTTACCACCACTATAACACTAGCTTCCATTTACCTTTTCTATAAATATTTTCATGGCAATTGTTCTGATGAACTTTCTTCTTTAGTAACTTGATTTGTGAGTTTAAGCATTGTATTAAAATGACAGCTAGGCGTCATTTTATGATTGAAACTGCTAGATGTAACCTATGCAACTAAGTTCTATGCTAATTGTTTCTTCTCTCTCAAGTCTCATCTGTGAAACAATCTTCTGGCTTTTTGCTTTCCTGCCAACTACAATCTTCAAAAATTGAAATGCAACTTCAATTGTCTTCTTCTGTCTCTTTGAATCCTGCACTTTTATTTTACTTTTTTCTTAATGTTTTTTTGGTTTTGTTCATTCTCAGTAAGCCCCTTACATCTTATGGCTTTATTGCCTTGCTTGGGGTGAAATGATTAAAAATTCTCTCTCTCCATGTTTACAAAACAAATTTTAAGGATAAATTCAGGTATTCACTTAGAACAGTTTAATTTTTACTTCTGAGAAAAAGATGTAGTGTTTTATGGATCCTGGATGTATGAAACTATAGCAAATACTTCATTGGCAAAATTACCAAAAGACAGTCAGTGTTTGATTAATAACAAATGGTACTTTGGCCAAAATAACCATAATTAAACCCATTATAGAACTGACAGCATTCAAGGCTGGCATGGATCTGCACTAAGTTATGTCATTGGGATAAGTGGAGGGATGGAGATGATGCAAGAGATGAATGATAACTTAGAGGCAGAAGTAGGTAGCAGCATTTGTTTGTAAGTTAATGAAACAATTTTTTTTATTTTTTTTTTTTTATTGGTCACTATGGGAGCAGTATTTATCAAGCAAACAGGGAATATGACTGGACTTTTTTGTGGATTAATTAATTGGCTCCTAAATAAATGAACTAATGAGATCATATATATTTAGAATTTGGCAGACTTTCAAGATAGCAATTGGTTGCAAATGATAAGCTGAAAATTGGAAATGCTGCAATGGTAAGTATAAAGTTTGATATTTACTGTGGGGGAATGGGTGGCAGGAATTAACACTGGATCACAAAATCTAATAAAGAGAAAGCCACTCATTTTTCAGTGTGTTTAGGATGCAGATGAACACGGCTCTCCACAACAGCACATATGAACAGTAAACAGATGCCAAAATGTTTGACAATAGATTTTGCATGTGAACAGATAATGAACAAAGGAAACCAAGCACCCCCATCCTTGTATATCAGTCCATATTAGGCATCAGCAAACATGCCCACATAAAAATGTAAGTAATTTGCAGTAAAGTAATTGAGTGTGGCTGCAGCTCCAATGCACCACAAGAGATCTGCAGGAATATGCATCATGTCATGAGTCCATCTGACTCATTAGGATCATAGAGGAACCACATGAACTGCAGACATAGCAACAGTGGTGTGTCTTCAGGCTGGTTTTCCTTCTCCTAGACTGGTTGCTAGAGAGTCCCGAGGGAGAAAAGATGGATTCATGCCTTTCCAAAGGATATTTGTGAGAAAGTGAATGCAACAAACTAATTTGAATTCAGCTCATCAATTTTTGTTTCCAAATCATTGTTTAACAGTATTTCAACTCCTTATAGGTCATTTAATGCTGAAATTTAATTTTTGGGGGAGCTTTGAAGTAATAAAAATATGATATAAATTATTTTGCTTTCACAATTGAATACATGGTAGATGATACTTAGCTTTCATGCATATACATGTTTGTGTGAATATAATTACTAGGGGGAGTAATATGTGTGTTTTATTTTGTAGTTTGTTGAAGTTATATTTTGGAATACAGTTTGATTTCTTTGATCAAATATTATATGAATTAATGTCACAAAAAAGTTTTCATGTTGACTGTTTTGTTGATTTTGTTTAATGACATCTCAACCTCTGTGCGTTATTTAATGCTGAAATCTAAATATTTTGAACACTATTTTATGGCTTTAACTAAATATATTTTGAACGCAATTGCATGCCTTCAAGTATAGATAAAATGTATCGCTGTTCATTTTAATATAAATTGGTATTGCTGGTACTTTCATAGCGTTTTGTTTTTGCTTGTGGGTTCACTATTTGACCATAGGTGGGACCCTAACAGGTGCTACTACTCTCAATCTGAGGCCTTGCTGCAGATGTAGTTTATAGTCATACCCAGGACTACTTTCCAATCCATGGACTGAAGGAACTATAAAGAGATAGAATTCTTATTCCTCAAATAAAACAGCAATGGTTTTACAGTGCAATCAGAAACAGCAACTTTCAGGAAGAAATAATACTGGAAAAAGACAGAGGAGACAGCTTTTTTTTCTATAAATACTTTCATGATAATTGTTCTGATGAACTTTCTGCTATGATATCTAGATGATGAATTTAAGCACAATACTAGATTGGTAGCAAAACCACACCATTTTACAATCGAAATGGCTAGATATAATTCTAAGCTAACAGTTTTTTTTTCTCTCATACTTATCACTTCTTCCAGATTCTCATTTTCCAGTCAACTTTGATCTTCAGAAATTTAAATGCAATGTCAATTGTTATCTTGTCTTAATTCCTATTCTTTTATTGTTCTCTCTCCCTAATAGTGTTTTTTTTTTAATTCTCTCACACGCAGTAACCCCTTGTGTCTTAGTGGTTTTATTGCTTTGTTTGAGATGAAATGATTAAAAAAGAAAAAAGTGATTGATACAATAAATTATGAAAAAAAAGACTTTCACACAATCATGTATGCCAAACCTTAATGATAGCTGGCAAACAGATTTCAAAAAATAAAAGATGACAGGCCAGCCTCGTTACCATAAATTCAAAACTAAGCACTCTTGCCATTATCAAGAACTTGTAAAATCTGATACTTACAAAATATGATTGTGTATAGAATACAAAACTATAATATAGTGATATACTAAAAAGTAACATGTTTTTTCACAATAGGCTAAGATGCCCAATTTTCTACATGTTGAGAAAGATTGATTTAGGATTTGTACAATGACATTATACAGCCCAGAGATAAAAAATATTTTAGTTTTTTCAGTTTATGTACATAAGCAAAATTAATACACTCCACCCCACAAAAAAAAATTAAAATATGGATAAATAAAAGTAACAAAAAAAAAAAAAAAAAAAAAAAAAAAATGGTGAAAAAAAGATCAAATTTTTTTATGAGAGTGAAAGAGAGAGAGAAAAAAAATGAGTGAGAGAAAGAGATCAATAATCTTCAAGTCAAAATG